GAGATCTCGCCATTTTGATTTTTTTCCTCGGAAATTGTGTTTATCACTTTAATCATTTTCAATTCTTCTTCTTGTTCGCGCCAGCAACGAATCATTTCTTCTGTTGGTGGAGGACCAAAATATCTTTCGGCAGCTCTGTTTTCATGCTCTTTTGCATAATTAATCACACTTAATTTAAATTTAGCTGTGTATGACAGTCTCTTTTCTTTAGACATCGTAAGGGGTGAAAAAAATAGAACGAAAAATGAAGAAACAACTATTTTGCTCCCGAGGCCTGTTTTTGTTGATACAGTTTGTTCATTTCCTTCTTTGTTTTCGTTGCTACATTCTGTTTGTTTCCCTATCTGTTTTGTTGATACAGACTGTCTGTTTCCTTCTTTGTTTTCGTTGCTACATTCTGTTTGTTTCCCTATCTGTTTTTGTTGATACAGTTTGTTCATTTCTTTCACTGTTTTTTGAGCTACATCTGGGTGTATGTGTGTGATCTTAACCTCAAAATTTTGTTTGAACAGAAATCTCACATACAATTTTCAAGTTCTTTAATTCAAACAAACAATAAAACAAAAGGATCAAATCAAGAGATCTGTATGGATAAACCTCAAACAAAGGATGCTTTACTGATAGTCAGGAGGTATGTTTAACTCTGCAGTAAAATTGCATTAATCTTCCACTGAAAACTTGCCAAAGAAAGGAAATAGATACATGCAATAGCATACTTTATCTTTTAATTAAAAATACTTTTTAAATGTGGCCTTGTCTAAGTAGAGAGCTTCTGGTGAACCCACATCAGGAGTCTGTTTGTGGACAGTTCGTAGTTGGGTCATCATCTCTTTCAACCGAGGATCTCCTTTTCTCAAACCAGTAGCAGATAGGGCCTGTAACCGATTAAAGATGTTCGTTAAAAACAGCCCCTTAAAGTATTTATTTCCTTTTTAACTTTTACTCTGATGAAGCTACAGGGTCAACAATACACCAGTTTGATAAACAGTAAAATCATAAGCCTAGAATTACTAATCAAATGATTGTTATTTATCATAATTTGAAATGTTCCTTTTTCAAGTTTTGCAGTAGAATTGGAAGAAGCTCTTTTTATGTGTGTCAAAAATGTTATGCTGGAAAGTTTATAAAAATTTCTTAAGGATCTCACCTGTGTATCAACTTTCTAATAACAAAACACTTTATTAAGAGAGCCAATCCATAGTTTCAGTGATAAATTTTCTAACAGTACAATACTTTCTTGATAATGCTCACCCATTGTTTCAGTGTATCAACCTTCTAACAATACAGTGTTTTCTTGATAATGCTCACCCATTGTTTCAGTATATCAACCTTCTAACAATACAGTGTT